GTTTCCAAGGAGCAGCTGGTGGATTTGAACTGCTGACCTTTTGGTTAGCAGCCGAGCTCTTAACCACTGCGCCACCAGGGCTCCAATATTAATCATAGTAGCACTGAATTCAAAGAGTAATTTTACCAGAAGTAGATCAGGTGCTTTTGTACAATGGCCTGCAGGTGTGAATGTAGACAAGCCAACCTCTGCAGATACAGCTAAAAATGGGAATAGCCATAGATAAGAGGGAACCAATAAGACAATTTAAGTTACCCTTCTTATCTATGAAGGATGCCATCATGCCACCGCTTTTCTTCTCTTTGCCAAAATTTCTTTCAGTTAGGAATGAGGACAGTGAGTAGTAAGAAAGAACATTACATTGTATATCCAGATACACGTATGCTAGGCTTGGTTCTGCCACTAAGTAGCTGTGGGGCTGTAAGAGAGCCATTCCCCCTCAGATTATAACAAGATGATGATTAAGGCCCTATCCATTCTTAAATTCTATGATATTAGAAATTTCAGCTTCTGTAAATGGTAATTCTACTCTTGGGTTTGTGTAACCTAATCAAATATTAAGCCCATAAAAATCATCTATCCATATATACAATACATTTATACATACAAATGTATTAAACAGGCACTGAGTGCTTCTGCTTTGTAGCATTTGATGCAGTTGTAATATCTGATTGTTTTTGAAACTATCTGATCAATGTCTCACTTCTCCACTGGTCAAAATTTGATGAGAGCTGGGACCACATTCATTATAACACCAATGTTCCTTCTTTCCAGGATACTGTGATTGTTGTCATAAGGTGCCGTCGAGTTGGTTCTGACTCATAGCAACGCTATGTACAACGGAACTAAATACTGCCCAGTACCGTGTCATCCTCACAATCGTCGTTATGCTTGAGCCCATTGTTGCAGCCACTGTGTAAATCATCTCATTGAGGGTCTTCCTCTCTTTTGCTGACCCTCTACTTTACCAAGCATGGAAGAGACTGTGATTGGTCTTCCCCCAATTATTTTTTTTATTTCAAACCATCTACTGATGAGTTTTTAAATACATAAAACTCATAAGAATACTTGAATTATAGTGTTGCTTATATTTAATCAACAATATACAACTAAAATAGGGTTATTTACAAATAAACACATTCATTGCCATATAAATCTTTTATTCTTTTCTTCTAAATAAATCTCACATCACTTCAACTCAGCAAACACATCCTACTGGTTCATTGGAAGCTATGATCTTAGAGATCTCTGTCAGTATTAATTGTTTTTGCTACTATCTAACCCTGTTGTCCATATAACATTTTTCTTACCTTATATCCAATCTCTTCTCTTTTTCATAAAATTGCAAAGTGACTTTCATGTTCTTATCAATCAAGAAAAGAGATTTAATCTTCATAACATAAAAATACATGTGTTACGTACACAAAAGGAGAATATTTATCATTCTTCCAATTGTTCCACGCAATCTGGTTTTATATTCTGTAAATAACCAAAATCAAGATTACTGAATACATATTTCTTGGTGATTTAATAAAAAACATTTTATAATAACACAACTCTGCCATATGGTTTGCAAACCATATTTAAATACATTACCTCATTTGAGTCTTTGAGTTAGTCTGGAGCATAAAAAGGCAAATGTAATCCTCTTTTTACAGAAGGGGAAGGTGATGGAAGAGGGTGTAGAAGGATGAACTACAATATATCCCAGGATGCTAGGCCCCAATCCCATTTACATTTCCCACATCCTCCTACTTCCACATTTTGCTTTATATTTTTCATGCTTTTCTAATGTCAGCATCAACATCAGTACCTATTTTATACAAATCTTGTTATGTCAAATTTCTTTTATTTATTCAGTAAACATTAATGAGTTCCTACCATATGTGAGACTCTGAGCTAGATAATAGGGCTACAATGTCACATAAAAACAAATGTAGTCCCAGCTCTCATCAAATTTTGAGCCCTAGAAAAGTGATACATTAATCAAATAGTTACAAAATAGAACAACTTGGTCAAATGTTACAAAGCAGAAGCATCCAGTGCCACCAGACCTTGTACTTGGGAGATTTGACCTAGTCAGAGGGGTTGGGGAAGGCTTTCCTGAAAAAGTAACACTTGAGCTTAGGTCTGAACAATGAGTAAGAGTTTATCAGATGGGAAGGAAACATTTGCAAAGACCTTTAACAGGTGGAAGCGTGGTAAACCGACAGTAAGGAAAGAAGCCCAGCATGGATGGAATCAAGAGAGTGAGGGAGAGTACAATTTGAGATGAGACTTGAGGAGAAATAAGGGCCAGATTCTGCAATGTTATAGAATTTATGTCAAAGAGTTTTATCTTTAGCCAAAGAACAATGGATCGTATGATTCCATCTATATGAAATGTCCAGAATCGGCAAATCAGTAGAGACAAAGTAGATTAGTGGTTGTTAGGGGCTGGAGAAAGGGAGGAATGAGGAGTGAGTGCTAATGGGCACAGGGCTTCTTTGGGGGTGATAAAAATATTCTAAATTAGATAGTAGTAATGGCTCCCCAATTCTGTAAATATTTTTTTAAAAAACCCACTGAACTGTACACTTTTAAAAAGTGGTGAATTGTAGCTTTAAAAAACTGTTGTTAAAAAATAGCAAAAGGAAAGTATGAAGGATTTTAAAAAGGGAGGTTTTGTTGTTGTTGTTGCTGTTGTTCAGACTAGAGTTTTTACTTTACTGTGAAAAATGTATTCGAAAGTGGAGGCAGGAGACCCAAGTAAAAGAAATGTAGAAAGGAAAATCAATAGGCCTTAATGATAGATTGAGCATGGGAGCTAAATAAAAAGAAGATGCCAAAGAATAGTCCAGAGAATTTTGGCTTAAACAAGGATATAGAATATCATTACCTTTCATTGGCATTGTGGATATTGGAGCAGGATGAGATATTGAGAGGAAGGAGGTAAATATCAAGTTCATTCTTTTAATATGTTCAGTTTGAGGGTCCCTTGAGAGATGTCAAGAAAGAATTGTATATATGGATCTGGAATTCACAGTCAAGTTCTTAGTAAAGGGAAAATCTATAAGCCTTGTGCTTATTGATTAAAATAATAGTCATGGGTATAAATGAAACAACACGGGACAAGAATATAGGGTACGAAGAGAAGAGAGCCTAGGATCAATACGTGAGGAACTCCCAAACTTGTTGCCCAAGTACAAAGTACAAGTTGCAGTGAGAAAATAAACAGAAGCCATAGAGGTAGGGGAAAACCAGGAGAGTGTTCTGCCGGAGGCCAAGGAGAACATTTTCAAAAGAGGAATTTATCACATGTATAGAATATTTCTGATAAGTCAAACGAGATAAGGACCAAAAATACCTATTGTAATAAGTGTGGTAGACATCGTTGGTAACATTACCTGAAGCTGTTCCATTTGTGGAATGATTGTGCCCGATCCAGATTATGGTGGGATGTGAATGGGCTATGGGCAAAGAAAGAAAACCAGCAATAAAAAAGTTTGCCATATTTGTTGTTGTTTTGTTTTGTTTTGAACAGTTTGCCTGAGGAGCACAGACAGGAGATAGACCAATTGCTATGATATATGGTGGGGAGACTAATAGTTATTACTTATATTTTTATTTGAGTATTCTGGAGAATATTTTAAAGACAATGGAACATACTCAGTTGAGTGACAGAGGTTGAAACTACTCAAGGAAAAAAGGTTAATCCGTGGTATAAGTTTCTTGAGAAGATGGAAATGATAGAGCCCAAAGCCCAGATAGATGAAGAAAATTAGATCCTCCAAAGGAAAGAGGCCAAAGGCTAGAAGAACTGCAGATGTAAGACAACTTAGATGCGTGGTATCTGATATGAGGCCAGTCCCATCTGATCACTCAGTTTTGTCTCTAAGGTAGATATGAGAAAATCAGCTTAGGATAAGGGAGGTGGAAGGAAAGCAAAGGATAGTTTACCAAAGATTTGAGAATAATAGAGAGTAAACTGTTATATGGAGAGAGAATGAGGTAACCAGAAAAAAAAACAGATGGCATTGTTGAACATTGCTGAAGATTCCTCTTCCCACGCACTTTCTCCAGCACTGCTCAGCTACTGTGGTGTACGCGTGGCGTGGAGAATGCCGATAGTTGGTGTGTTTTTTTTGTAGGCTAAGGTTTTGCTTATATACAAAGACAGAAAGACACGGGAGTTTAAGGTAATGGGAAGAGTGTTAATAAATCATGAAATAACAACTAAAAAATAAGGAAGTATTTTTATTTTCCATTTATTGATTTTTTCCTATACCTAAAAATAAAATAATAATAATAATTTTAAAATGACAAGATCTGAAATGTTTCCTTTGTGGATTTTTTGTTTTGTATTTGTTTGTTTTTTTACAAAAAAGCCTACAAATGTCAATATATAGTCTGAGTTTTTGTTTAGGCTTAATGTCTTTGAACTTTAGACTTCTGAATTTAACGTATTACAAAGTAAAAAATATAGACAATATAGCTAAAAGATCACCATCAGGAGAGCTGAAGTCTAAACTCAACCTTCCAATAATTTATAACTTTTCTTTATCTGCTTTACGTAGCTGAAAGCTGACTACAAATGATTTCTGAGAACTCTTACTCATCCTTCAAGACTCAGCTTTTATGGAGCTGTCCCTGACTCCTCCTTGCTTGACTGCTTTTATTTAACCTCTCACAATACCAAACAGAAACCTCTATGACAGTCCTCACACTACTGTATTGCATTGTTGCTTACCTGGCTTCTCCACTAGATTCTGAGTTTTTTGAAGGCACACATATTTTCTTTTTGCATTTTACTCAGTATTGGCCTATATTAAGCCATCAATGAATATGTGTAGTTCGCAACTGAATGTTTAAATTTATTATCTGGGGAAAATGTTACGTTGGTAACCAAATGTAAAAATAATAATAACAAAAGATTCATTTGGGACTAAAAAAACAAGGCAAAACAAAACAAAAACAGCTCATTAATTCTACGCTAGAAAAACCTTAATGTTGTTTTTCCTGACTAAACAGAGAGGTATCTCCAATTCTCTAAAAAGCAAAGTTGTCACTTTGATAACTAAGGTGCGCCTGACCCTAGCCATGGTCTTTTCAATTGCCTCATATGCATGCTTAAACTGAACCATGAAAAAGGAAGACAGAAAAAGAATCGATGCATTCAAATTGTGGTGTTGCCAAATACTGAATATACCATGGACTGCCAGAAGAATTAACAAATCTGTCTTGGAAGAAGTACAGCCAGAATGCTCCTTAGAATCAAGGATGGCAAGGCTCCGGTTTGCTTCCTTTGGACCTGTCATTAGGAAAGACCAATTGCTGGGAAAAGAACATTATGTTTGGTAGACTAGAGTAAAACCCTAAAAGAGATAGACTGACACATTAGCCACAACAGTGAACTCCAACATACCAAAAATCATGAAGATGGTGCAGGACCAGGCAATGTTTTGTTCTGTTATACAAAAGGTCACCATAAGTTAGACCAACTCGATGGCAGCTAACAATGACAACATCTCTAACTCCACTGTATAATGTAAGTGCATGGCATTATTGTTATTGTGAGGTGCTGTTGAGTCAATTTCGACTCATAGTGACCCCAGGAGACAGAGGAGAACTGCTCCATAGGGTTTTCTAGGCTGTACTATAATCTTTATGGGAGCAGATTGCCAGGGCTTTCTCCCATGGAGCTGCTAGGTGGGTGCTAACAGCCAAATTTTCGGTTAGCAGCTGAGCACTAAATCATGGCACCACCAGGGCTCCTTAAGTGCATGACATAAATAGAGCTAAATGAAAAATACTAGCAATAGCGATAGTGGTAAAAGTAGAAACGTTTGCATAATAAAACTGAGCCTTAAATAAAATAAAGAAGGAATCTAAAGGGCCAGAGACAATATTTTCAGAGCTATATCAGCTATGGAAAAAGACAGCCAAGCCAGTGAGCAGAAATGCAATCCAAGAAAACTGAGGACGAGAGGACTTGTGAGTAAGCTTGCCAATAAGCAAGCATACCTGGGGAAAAAGTACAGAAATATCAGGAGTATAGACATAATTACACATACATATACACACCAAGGTTAACTATGCAATTAACGTACTTTTTAGGATATTTACATTGTTCTTTTAATTTGATACTTTTATTTCCAAAGTTCCAGGAGCTTGTGTAAAATCTACTCCAAGTAATCCATGACCTTGATGCTAAAGCAGAGACTGTATTAGATTAGATACATTCAACTGCAGGACACTTTCACAACTGTCATAGAGAACTTTTGATATAGCAGAGTAACTGAGTCTTACCCAAGCTCAACTAATAGTACTTTGGGAATAATACTTAATATTGGGGAGAACTTCAGGGACTGTTGCGGCATCACACACGGTTGCACATTTGCATACCCATTGCTATCAAGTTGATTCCGACTCATAGTGACCCTATAGGACAGAGTAGAATTGCCCCATACGGTTTCCAAGGAGCACTTGGTGGTTTCAAACTGCCGATCTTTTGGTTAGCAGCCGTAGCTCTTAACCACTACACCACTAGTGTTTCCATACATTTGCATTTGCATACTACCAGTAAAACCCAAAACTCATTTCAGTCAAGTTGATTCCAACTCATAGTAACCCAACAGGACAGAGTAGAACTGCCCCATAGGATTTCCAAGGCTGTGATGTTTATGGAAATAGACTACCACATCTTTCTTCTGCGAAGCAGCTGGTGGGTTTGAACCGCTGACCTTTTGGTTATCAGCTGAGCGCTTAACCACCACTGTGTCACTGGGGCTCCCTTTGCATACTACACACAAAGAATATTCTCTTCTGATAGATACTAACCCACAAACGTGTGCACAGACTTATACTTCTACTGATGTATATGACAGTATTTGAAATTTCTTTATAGCTGGACTGAAACTTTTACACTAACCATCCCTGCTTGAGCAGTCTTTGTCACTTGAAGCTTTCAAATTAAAAAATCTGTGATCTGCCTTTTAGAAAATCCATCATGTCCTTTTCCCTCACTTTAACCTTGTCTCAAAAGGTTCACAAATCACACATTCCAATAAGGACTTTGAAATTTCCCGTAAATCTAATCTTGCTATCTTTTCTTGGTTTCTTATTATTTCATATATTTATTTGCCTTATCTCTTTTGTCCTAGGGATCTGTAACATATCCGTACTCCTAGTAGCTTTATCCTTAGACCTTTTAGGAAAGCACAAATTTACTCTCTTAAACTTGCTCTTCGTATTTGGAAATTAATCAATAATGCTCCTATTTATATTCCTCCATCTCCCTTTCCATTTGCAAGGACGTGGCATAATAACATGTTGTAGATTTTTCTGTTATCCTGCAGCTGTAAGACTTTTTTTTTAATATAAAATCTTTGTATTTCATAATTTTTTCCTGTCTCCCATGCTGGGGATGTTTTGTTTCTAATATTCCTAGCCTACAGACACAGACACTCGATAATTTTCATTTCCTTCTCTTGTCTGACTTTGTCCAAATTTATTTGGATTATCCTTTCTTCTCCTATTTTTCCCAATACAGGAATATAAAAGTGAAGATACTTTCTTTTAGTTGATTTCCCATTTACGTGGAAAGTCTGGAAGGTTAACCCCCTAGAAGTAAACATTCTTAAGTTTTTGTTCCAATAAGCTCTCTTAGCTATCAGAATCATTGTGGTAACTTGAAAAATAGTTTTGTGGTGGCAGAATGATGCCAATCGGTCTTTCCTTCACTTGCCAGAGGCCCTACTGCTAGTCAGACATTGTAACTGTAATTTCAGGTGATGCCTGTCAGAGCAGCTATTGGACTGTTGCCCTCCACTTCCTCCAGTGGAAGAGTCAGTCGGAGAGAGAGGAAGAGCTACAAATCACTACTCCTACAATGTTCTCCACCGAAAAAAAAAATAAATAAAGTCAATTAGCAGGTAGTGTGGAGGAAATACTTCATGTTATTTACTCCATAGAAATTCAAACAGGTAAATCTAAGACTGAGAAGTGCTGCAACAAAAAATGTCATTTTGCTCTGTTTAACCGTAAACTTCTTACTCTTCTTAATTGGAGAACACTTTTCATATTTGTGCCCATGTGTAAAAACTATTAGCATTAGGTGAATCAAACATTAAGGAAGAATTCTCCAGAAACATTTAGGTTAAGAATCAGGGCAAATTTTTATTGCATCTGAGATTAACAGTCTTTAGACCACCACACAAACTTTTCTAGAACAAGGTTTTTCTCATGATGCTTTTCTCCTCAGACTTCTATAAGAACTTTTATTTATTCTATCGGTGCATTTTTCAAGGTACTCCATAAACTGCTTCCATTCTGTGTAAAATGTCAGATTCTGAAGTCAGCTGCAACAGTACTTCAACAAGGAACTGCTAGAAATTCAAGCCATGTTTGGAAGAGGGTGTGGAATGAGGGATATCATTGCTGATGTCAGGTGCATCTTGGCTGAAAGTAGAGAATACCACAAAGATGTTTACCTGTGTTTTATTGACTATGCAAAGGTATTTGACTGTGTGGATCATAACAAATTACGGATAAAATTGTGAATAATGGGAATTCCAGAATGCTTAAATGTGCTCCTAAGGAACTTATATGCAGACCAACAGGCAGTCATTCAAACAGACAGGCCAACAGGCAGTCATTCAAACAGAACAAGGGGATACTACATGGTTTAAAATCAGAAAAGGTGTACATTAGGCTCATATAGTTTCATCATACTTACCGATCTGTATGCTAAGCAAATAATCTGAGAAGCTGGACTAAAAGGAGAAGAACATGGTATCAGGAGTGGAGGAAGATTCATAAACAACCTGCGATATACAGATGACACAACCTTGCTTGCTGAAAGTGAAGAGGACTTGAAGCACCTACTGATGAAGATCAAAGACCACAGCCTTCAGTATGGATTACACCTCAGCATAAAGAAAACAAAAATCCTCACAACTGGACCAATAAGTAACATTATGATAAATGGAGAAAAGATTGAAGTTGTCAAGGATTTCATTTTACTTGGATCCACAATCAATGCCCATGCAAGCAGCAGTCAAGAAATCAAACACATTGCATTGGGCAAATGTGCTGCAAAAGACCTCTTTAAAGTGTTCAAAAGAAAAGATGTCACTCTGAGGACTAAGATGCACCTGACCCAAGCCATGGTATTTTTAATTGCCTCACATGCATATGAAAGCTGAACAATGACTAAGGAAGACATAAGAAGAATTGATGCCTTTGAATTATGGTATTGGAGAAGAATATTGAATATACCATGGATTGCCAGAAGAATGAAAAATCTGTCTTGGAGGCAGTACAGCCAGAATGCTCCTTAGAAGCAAAGATGGTGACACTTTGTCTCACATACTTTGGACATGTTATCAGGATGGACCAGTGCCTCCAGAAGGGCATCATGCTTGGTAAAGTAGAGGGTCAGCAAAAGAGAGGAAGACCCTCATTGAGATGGATTAACACAGTGGCTGCAATGATGGGCTCAAGCATAGCAATGATTATGAGGATGGAGCAGGACTGGGCAGCATTTTGTTCTGTTGTACATAGGGTCGCTATGAGTCAGAACTGACTTGACAACACCTAACAACAATAACAAAGTCAGCTGAACGGTGTTCAAATTCCAGCCCTGTTGTTTCTCAGCTATTGGTCAGTTAACTTAACCTCTTTTAGCCTCAATCTTATCATCTGTAGAAGTGAGATCAGGTGTCCCCTAACATCAGCACAACCCAGGGTAGGAAAAAGTGAGGGCCCACACACCATGTGTCTAATATTTGGAAGTTATCAAGTAAGCCGTGCCCCTACCTGACCTACTTTCCCACCCAGGCTTCCCCCACCCTCAAGCTTGCTCACCTGCGTTATGCTCACCACCCACAGGCCAGAGAATCGTGCTCTCCCTAGATCTGCCTCTGCCCCCTACATGCCTGGGTGGGAGCACACATCTGCTGTGGCAGGGTAGGGCAGAAGCATCCAAGCCTCCTGGATGATGACTGGAGTGCCAGAGGGTTATCCCTCTGACTCAGGAATTCCAGACAACTCTAAGCACCTACCAAAACTAGAACATCCAAGGAGAAGGGATGAGGCAGAGAGAAAGAGAAGAGTTATTCAGAGATACTGGTATGCTTTGTTACCCACTTCGCTGATTTGGGACAGCCAAATGAAAACAAAAGCACCCATTCTTTCTCTGATTACCCAGGACAGAAACTGTGACATTCTCTCTCTCTCTCTCTTTCTGTGCCCAGCATCCTCTGGCCTGGTACATAGTTCTTGTTCATTCAAATGAATTCTAAACTTGAAAACAAACCAAGAAAAAAAAAGGAAGGAGAAGGAGAAAAAGAAAGAGGAAGAGGAGAAGGAGAAGGAGGAGCAGGAGGAAGAGGAGAAAAGAAAAACTTAGATTGTGTTCCAGCATTTGCAGAACACTTAAAGGCTCAGAGCACTGGATAGGGACCCTCTTGCTCAGGTCTTAATGATTGAGATAATTGTACCTACCTCAGAATTACATGGGGATTAAATACGATAATGACTTGAACTATCATGCCCTTATAAAAATCAGGAGGGACTCTCTTCCCTAAGATAGGCCTCTAATATTTGTCGGGAAAAATAAATAAATAAATAAGAAGCAGTATTTTTAGAACACAAAAACCTGGAGACCAGGCATAGGGTTATTCCACTGTCCAAATATTTCAACACATTCAGACATCATAGCAATATTTTACATTTTTGCTTGAAAAATGAGCTGCTTTCTCATATATTCAAGCATAATTAAATTCCCTAATTTTTGGAGGTAGCCACTGAGGGCTCAGCCTTTAATTGGTTGTCTGCTTTGAGATAATAGGGAAGGATAGACCCTTCTTAATCTCTCTTTGAAATGATTGGCAGAGATAGCATCCAATCAAACTTAATTATATCATAAGGAATGTCGTTAAAGGACAGATCCCTCTCTGATCTTTCATAGCCACATTAGTTAAACCGTAGCTTGGCCCAATTTTCAAAGTGAAACTTTACAAGCATCCCGTCTTCCAGTTGCATCAATAATGCAAAATTTATCTTTCTGAGAAAGGAGTACACAGATCTTGGTGGGGCCAATTTTAGATTCAATGTGTTAATCTTACATGAGAAGAAAAACTGACTGTATTGGGAGAGTTGCAGCACTTAAGGCTTCTAAAAGGGAATTTGATCAAGGATATCCCAGAGCAAATGGATCAACCTTATCTGGTATATATACATTGTTATTTTTCTTACCTACTAGTATCCTCACACACAGTATCCAGTTCAGTCTGGCCATCTGCTCTTTGCGTCCTCTAAATTCCCTAAACCTTTATCCATTCTTGGAGATGTCCTCTCATGCAAACTGTGCAAGTTAAGTGACCTTGGACAAAAATACTTTATCTCTCTTCCTTTGGTCTCTAATTTTTTTTAATGTCATATGTGCATATTTTGCCTTGCCATTGAGATCATTAATTACGCTTGAGAGTAAAGAACAAACATCAAATGACTTTGTAACTCTCCACAGTGCCTAGCATAGTGCTAATGGCTTTGCTCGACCGTAGGAGAGTTAATTATTACCTGATGGACCTCAGAGGGAGCCCTGGTGGTGCAGTGGTTAAGAGCTTGTCTGCTAACAAAAAGGTCGGCAGCTTGAATCTACCAGCTGTTCCTTGGAAACCCTATAAGGCAGTTCTACTCTGTCCTACAGGGTCGCCATGAGTAGGAATTGACTCGATGGCAGTGAGTTTTTTTTTTTTTTTTGGACCTCAAAGGCGAACACCCAGCCTAATCCACACTTTAATTACTAGAGTAAGGTTAGATAATTTAGCTGGCTGTTTGAGCACTGTTCTGTCCAACATGCTGTCAGACACCCTGCAAATACAGACATATGGACTAGGTAATGTGAACTCTCAACTAATTAAGGGGTTTAGTGTGTATGTGTTCCGATGATGAATAATTAACAGTAGCAATTCAGAAGACTCACCCACGCTAATGCGGCAGGAGCCTCAGCTGTATTTGATTTCCCTTCAGTGTTTCCTTCAAAGCATTCACAGACCAGCCACCATCCTTTACACTGTGTTTATAGGTATGTCATGTCTGGAGCCTCTGAGGTAGAAATTATGACAGTTGTTCTAGAAGCTGTGATAGATAATTAAAAAATAATTAACAAGAATAATTAGCATGGTGCCAAGGGAGGAGAGCTTTTATTTCATCAGCTAGTTTGATGTGAGATTAAGTATGTACAGAAAACAGCTTAAAAAGTACCTTTATATGGCAATATGGAAGAAACGATGGTTTTTCATTTTTGTCTTCTTTTCCTGCTTTTCCCTCCCACTAGCCGTCAGCGAGAAGTGGTTGCTGTGATCCTTGATCCCTTTTGAAAAATGCCATCCAGCATCACTCGCAGCGTGTCTCCATTTGACTGAAGACATAACTGCACAGCTCAAATGAAAACACAGAAGTGGAACATCAGGATCTGTCAGCATAACGCTCCTGGGGGTTGAGTATGAGGTGATTACCTTGGCACCAGCTAAGGCGAAAAGAAAGAAAAAGGCAGAGGCAGTAAACAGCAATAGGATTTTTACTTCTTGCTGCTTGTCGGGTTTTACTTTCCTAAGAGCAAGACGAAACTATTCTGGTTAAAAAAAAAAAAAACAAACAGAAATGCTAACCCTCATTTTCAGTCAATAAGGTGTTCCCAGCACTGATTGTTTTATAATTGGACAAGACAGCATACAATTTTATCCAGTAATTTCCCTGTTACAGGGGAGCTATACACACTCAGGAAGGGTCCCCTGCTGAGAAAAACCCCTAGTTAAACAAGTCAGTCAGCCAGGAAGAGCAAACACTTTGCAGTCAGACAGACCCAGACTGGAATACTGGCCCCCATTACATACTAGTACTAGTTGGGTGGCCTTGGACAAAATACTTTCTCTCTCTGAATTGAGATTAGTTCCTCAGTAAAATGCCAATAATAATACCTACCTCGCCTGTTATTTGTATTATCATTTATTTGAATGCTACTATTATTGACACAATCACTATTATTATTATCATGTTACTTAACCCCTCTGAACACTGTTTCCTCATCTGCAAAATGTAGGTAATACTTATCTCATAGGTATATTATGAAAATAAATGAGGCCCTCAAGAAAAGCTACCTCCCCAGGCTGTATCGTTTATCAACACCCACTGAGTGAAAAACTACGGAAATTTAGAAGGTAACTGAATTCTTGAATTCCGTTTATCAAAGGAAAAAAATACATCTAAACATATGATATAGATATAGACATCAATATAAACAAATTCTCAAATTCTTCCATGTCCAAAAATACTAATACTAAACATTCCAGCTCAGGTGATGTCATTGAACTTTTATTACAAAGCCTGAAACATAATACTCAAATAATTATTGACCAAGCAAATGAACAACAAAAGCCTCTGAAATAGAAGAGAATGAAAAAAGTTCGTGCATGATAAAATATTTTCAGAGGAACACAGAGTTAGGCAGACTGACTGCCTCCAGAAACTGAGTGTTCCCCATCATTCATTCCAATTCTGCCTGAGCTTCTCCCTTTCAAAACATCCACAAGTGTTAGATAAAAGAGAGCTAACAGTTGGAGGACATTAAAGCTGATTATCAATAGATTGCATTAACGTGTAAAGCAGTTAGAAACCACTGAAGAGTATTAACAGGATGGGCTCACACTTGTGTACCAATCATAATTCTAAATCTGTGAAAGTCAACTCCATCTTCAGCCAGCCTTAGACCTTGTGATGAATGGCTTCAAATACTGTCAATACCCTTCACCTCGTGCTCCCTTCACCTGACGAAACTTCAGCACTGCACCTGCCCCACTAAACAGCTACCTCCTGCTTTCCTTGTCCACTATGGCCCAGTGCTATGGCAGAGCAGTCCTCTATTGACGTCCCTACAAACTGATGATTTCCTATCTCATATGATCCTTAATGCTGCCAAGTAGTCCCTCTGCCTGTCCACACTTAGCTCTAGCTCCCACTTTCCTCAGCTGTTATTCCAAAATCTCATTTAAGCGCCATCTGCCACCACTTTCCTCATGATTCTTAGAAGATGATACTGCTTCTTACTTCACAAGTTGTTTACCAGTGAGAATTCCCTCAGTTTCATTTGCCTGCCCTGATATCCTAGATATTCCTACTATTATCCCCTCTACCCTCCTGCCTCATATTGGAGTGTCTCTTCTCTGTCCAAGGTAATCTTTCAACTGGTATCCCACTCCCAGGGAAATTACTCCATCAATTGTCTCCTCTTTCTCTTGTATTTCAATCTTTTCATGTTCACTTGTTGTACATAAATATATTCAAATCCCTCCCATTAAAAAAAAAGTCTCAAACCTAAAATTCCTTATCTTAATGTATATTATAAACATTGCTTTCTAGAAATATTGTGCCATTTTAAGAATGGATATTCTTAAATATAAAACTGACAAGCTAATCTCATGCTTAAAATTAGTCAGTGCATCTTTATTGAATAAAATATAAACTCCTTAATATAGCAGACTAAGTTCCTCAGTATCTGTCCTCTACTCATACTGAACTGCTTTGTTTGACATTCTCTATCAACACTCTGCTTTTGTAATATGTTTTTCTCTTTCTGGAATATAACCCAGGTTATAAAACAGTGGTCTGGGGCAGTTCTTCTAAGGAGACAGTGGGTAAGGCAGCAATCTGAGGCTTGGTATAGTCACTGTAGCTGTAAAAGAGCTTTAAAGTTATAGGCAATGGTTATTACTAAAGCTTGGTAAACAGGCGAGTAATACTAGTTTTAAATGTTAGATAGATTGCTCCATATGAGACGACATTTAAAGGGATCAATGATGCAGAAAAGGAAAACCAGTTACAAGTCAGCAAAGGTTAAGTGAGAACTGATGGGGGCCTGAAATAGAGTCATAGCACTTGACATGTGTGCCACAAGAGGCACAAGGAGAATAACACCGAGGTCAGAGATAAAACAGGAGAATACATTGTCACAGAAAACAAGATTGAAGAGTCAAGAGAGAGGGCCGATGATCATGGTATCAAATGCCCTAGAGAAGGTAACATAGGAACCAAATATGTGTCCATTGCATTTGATAATTACAGAATCATTTAACCTAAACAACTGTAGCTATAATAGAGTAGAAAGAACAAAAACAAGAATGCAGAGAGTTGAGGAGTGAATAGGAGTGAGTGGAGAGTACTCTTCAAGATAAATAGAAGGGAAGATAAATAGATGGGTCAACAACATGATTGATGTAACTGAGCTCACTGAACTGTATACATGAAAATTGTTGAATTGGCAATTGTTGTGTTGTCTGTATTTTTGCAACAATTAAAAAAAAGCAAAGATGAAACTTTGATGACTAAGTTACACCTGAACCTAGCCATAGTCTTTTCATGCTTTATATGTATGCAAAAGCTGGACAATGAAAAATGAAGACAGAAGAATTGAAGTATTTGGATTGTGGTGTTGGCAAAGAATATTGAATATACCATGGACTGCCAGAAGAATGAACAAATCAGTCTTAGATGAAATAAAACTGGAATGATCCTTAGAAGAGAGGATGGTGAATTTCTTTTGTCTTGCTTTGGACTTGTCATCAAGAAAGACTAATCCCTAGAAAAGGACATCACATTTGGTAAAAGAGAGGGTCAACAAAAGTAAGGAAAACCTTCAATGAAATAGATTGGCAATAGCCACAACGATGGACTCAAACATCAAAGACTGTGAAGATGGCACAGGATAGGTAACATTTCGTTCTGTTATACATAAGGTCACCATGAGCTGGAGACTACTCCAAGGCAACTAACAAAAACAAATGAACAAACAAAGAAGCTCTGTAATGTCAAAGGACTGGTGAGGGTGAGAAAGATAATTGCATATTTATTGGCTGAAGGAGAGGCTGGAAAACTTGTTCTTAAAGAGTGAAATAGTAACTATTTTAGGCTTGGGGACCATAAAATCTCTGTTGCAACTATTCAGCTCTGCTGTTATAGCACAAAAGCAGCCAGATACAATATGTAAACCAATAGGTATAGCTGGGTTCTCATAAAACTTTATTTACCAAAAAAAAGTGGCAGTGGGCCCTCTGGCATAGTTTGCTGACCCATAATTGTCCAGGCCAGCAGAGGGGATGGGATCCAGGAATAGTTTAGCCTTGAACAAGAGGAAAAGCAAATGACTGTGTACACTTGTCAATACAGAATGGATTAACATTAACTAAAAACTTGAGCATTTAGTTAAAATATCAATTCAGTGTTTTAAAATTATGAAGAATTGTAATTAATTTAAAAGTGAACCCAGTTGTTTCTAAAATAATTATTTATAAGACTTTAAAGAAGGAACTATTTATTTAGTTGTGTTGAAATGATTTGGATATTTTAAAGTCTAAACCAGATCCATCTAGCATCAACTCTTGGAAATTCTGAAATAGCACTAATAATAGCAGAAAGGACCTTCCCCTTACATGCTGCCTAAACTTGATAGAACAGAAAGTCATCACTCCCTGCACTAAAAGGAAGGTCTGATTTTAAAAGGACCACATTATCCTCTTTCAAACCTGGATCTACAGATACCTTACTTGAAAAGCTGATTGTGGCATCCTGGCTTATTTCCATGACTAAAGCATTGTGATTAAGTTCCTATAGGCTTTAGATAATCACTTAAGCTTTTTGATTCTTATAATCAGGTCAGAGCTTCAATCAAGAATCTCTCCTAACACTAATGATTGCATAAAGAATCTGGGCAGGATAGCACCTGAAAACAAGAACTTCAGTTTGCTGAGCAGAAGCCTTAAGCTAGTTTCCTCGCTATAGCTCAAACAATTTGGCAACAAGGGCATGCATGATATGGACACTCAGATGCTAATGCACGATGGGCAAGAGCATATTTGTTGGGAAAAGTGGAGTAGCTCTATACTCATTTTATTTTCTAATGATCGCAATTGTCTTTCATTGAGACAGATACACTTACCACCCTCATCATAGTTAAGTTGTCTGAGCCTTAGTAGCATTTCTGACCCAACCAAAATTTGCTAGGTGAGTTATTTTGCCAACTTAAATCACTTAAATAATATCATTAATTCCTCTTAAAAG